CGCAAGGGTCGGGTACATCGTCAGGGTAATTTGCCAGTGACATTGGTCACCGCATTGCCCGATATGCTGGTGCTTGTTTTTGACACGCAGTGTATTTGACGTGACGGTCGAGGAATGGTCATTGAGTCATTGACCTTGGCGATTGGCCACCCGAATGGGGCAAGTGGGGTCGATAGACAAGGAGCTGGGATGAGAGTGGGGGGGTGAGGGGAGAAAGAAAAGAGTCAGAGAAGAGGGACGAACACGATGACCACCGGCATCATTGTTACACTCTTGGCGGAGAATCCGGCTGGCGATGAGGCGAGAGCGCCAGTCAGGCCCCCAGAGACCAGGACACAGATAAACCAGGACACGGAAAACCAAGGAAACGACATCCTCGCCTGCCAAGTCACGTTTTTCAGCACCCGTGCATGTTTTGTCTGCCGCGCTGCAGGATCTGGGTCTGTGTCCGGGTCTATAGGGGTGCCTTGCAGGCTCTTGGGGCCCGTGTCCGGGCTCCTTCTGCACATGCTGCAGTGCAGTATTTTGTCCGTGCCGCCGTTTGGACAAATCGGTTTCGAGGGATGTTGGGTGCCTTGTAAGAACGGTTTTTTGAAGGCAGATCTGTAAGAACGGTTTTTTGAAGGCAGATCTGCCTTCAAAAAACCATTTTTTGAAGGCAGATCTGCCTTCAAAAAACCGTTCTTACAGAGTGGTCCAGCGTGTCCGGGCCCACGGGGCCCCGAGACCCGAAGCGCGAGGGAGCCACCCGGGCCAGCGGCGGCCGAGGCGGGAGCAGAGCTCCCGGGCGCCCCGGGCGCACGAGCACCTCGCCCGACGCCCGGGGCGAGAGCACGCGCGCGACGCCCTCGGGAGCGCACTCCTGGCGTTGGCGTCAACCGGCCGCGGACGGAGGCCGCGCGCCCAAGGCCGGGCCTCGGAGAGGCAACGCACTGGAAGGAGCCATTTTCAGACGTCGGGATGTTTCGAGACCGCTCGGCGCCAGTGTTTTCGAAGTACTCTTGAGCTGTGTCGCTCCGCTCTTAGAGAAGCTCTACGAGTCATTCTCCGATGTCTCAGAGCTCTTGAGCTTTGTCGCTTCGCTCTTAGAGAAGCTCTACGCGTCATTCTCCGATGTCTCAGAATATTGAGAAAAAAAAACTTCAGCTTGTCACACTGGAAGCCGGCGGTAAACCGTCACGGAGGGTGTTCGCAGCTTTCGGCCTCTAGGGGGCCGCGCCGGGCCCCAGGCTCCTCGTAAAAGGACTCAGGATGGAGAACGGGTCCGCGGGAATGGCTCGAGACTTACAGGGGCCCCGTATCGAAAAAAACACGACGTCGGATCTCTGGGTGTGCGTGTGTGTGTGTGTGTGTGTTGTGTGTGTGTGTTGTGTGTGTGTGTGAGAGTGTGTGTGTGTGTGTGAAAGTGCATGTGTGTGTGACAGTGTGTGTGTGTGTGAAAGTGTGTGTGTGTGTGTGTGAAAGTGTGTGAAAGTGTGTGTGTGTGTAGGAAAGTGTGCGTGTGTTGTGTGTGTGTGTGAAAGTGTGTGTGTGTGTGTGTGAAAGTGTGTGTGTGTGTGTGAAAGTGTGTGTCTGTGTGTGAAAGTGTGTGTGTGTATGTGTGTGGAAGTGTGTGTGTGTGTGTGAAAGTGTGTGTGCGTGTGTGTGAAAGTGTGTGTGTGTGTGCGTGTGTGTGTGTGTGTGTGTGTGTGTGAAAGTGTGTGTGTGTGTGTGAAAGTGTGTGTGTGTGTGAAAGTGTGTGTGTGTGTGTGTTGTGTGAAGTGTGTGTGCGTGTGTGAAAAAGTGTGAAAGTGTGTGTGTGTGTGTGTGCGTGTGTGTGTGTGTCTGTGTGTGTGTGCGTGTGTGTGTGTGTGTGCGTGCGTGCGTGCGTGCGTGCGTGCGTGCGTGCGTGCGTGTGTGTGTGTGTGCGTGTGTGTGTGTGTTAGTGTGTTAGTGTGTTAGTGTGTTAGTGTGTGTGTGTGTGGCTCTGCCGGTGTGGGCCCACCCTTCCTCGGCGCGACATGCCACCCTTTTCCCGGCCCCCCAGCGTCAACGTCTGCCCCGCGGAGCGGAGCGACGCGCCAGCCAGTGGCAAGGCGCAGCGTGTCGCCGGGGCCGCGGACGCGACACGCTATCCACAAGTTCCTGACCGCAGCGGTGCGCAATCTGCCACTACAGACTGCGAGAGTGCGGTGACTTTTCGTCAGTGCGCTCGCCCGATTGTAGACCTGTGCTCGCAGGCGCGAGCTGGCCCGCGATAGCGGCTCCAGCTCCCGCCCATGGGCACCACCTCATTCTACCCACCTAGATCCTCGATGCTTTTGTATACCACGCCCTCCCCACCCCGGTCAGATTCCTCCCCACGGGGGCCACGTTCAGTATACAAAAACCACGCCCCAGGAGGGGAAATTTCAGATGCCAGATCAACGACCAGGACCCCCGCCCCCCCCCCCCCACCCAGGGCTTTTTCTCGGGCGGACTGGAGGCTTGGCGAGGCCTCCCTCTCGTTGCTGTCTGGGCGGGTTCCCGCCCGACGGATGCGCTCTGAAGGACGCGGAGTTGGCCCATGGTCAGGCCATGGGGCGCCCGTCAATCAGGAGGGGAAAAACACACGCAGACACAATGAATCGTCGATCCCCGAGAAAATATGGGAAAATATGGGAGTTGGGCGGGGAGACGAAGACCCAGAAAATGCTGGAAAACATGGGGAATCCTGTTCTTTGCGTGTATCTATTTGTGTGTCCCGGGGCCACCTTCACATGGTCAGGCCACGGGGCGCCCGCCAACTCCTGGGGCGGGGCGCCACTGCCCGCCGTTTCCCCGGTTCGGCTCTGCCCAGGGGGTTGGCATACCCTCTTGTGGAAACAGAGGGTGGGTGCGGGGCCCTGCCCCGCCATCGATCCTCGGGAGGGGAACACAAGCACACACAGACAAAATTGAGCGTCGACTCCAGGGAAAATATGTGAGAAAATATGGGAAGAGGGGGGAGGGGAAGACGAGAGCCCAGAACATGTGGGAAACGGCAGGAAATTCTGGGATGTGTGTGTCTGTTTCTCTGTGTTTGTCGAAGGGACCCTTTAGATCCGCAGGGTTGCCCGAGGCTGGCCAGGGGTGTCTGGCGTTCCTCATCGTTCCTCGGGGTTCGCCCTGGGTGTCACGCGCAATGCCAGGCAACGTCGCCGCGCAAGGAGAGGAAATGCAAAACACCGCCGAGCAATGCAGAGCCAATGCCCGGCAGTGCCAGGCAACGCCATGCAAGTGCAAAGCCATGCAAAGCCATGCAAGGCAATGCAAAGCAATGCCAAGCAACGCCAAGCAGATATTCCAAGCAACGCGAAGCAATGCGAAGCCAATGTCAAACAACAGCAAGCAAGACAAAACAATGCCAAGCAACGCCAAGCAATGTAAAGCAACACCAAGCAACGCCAAGCAATGCCAATCATAACTGCTTCGGATTGCTTTGGAAGAGAGAAGACCCCTAGTTGCGGCCGCGCCGTGGTCATGGTTTGCGTCTTGGCGTTGTCTTGGGGTCGTCTTGAGATCATCTCTGGATAATGCCGGATCATGGAGTCGCGTTTTGGTATCGGTTCGGCCACCGCCTGGTTGCTATCGCGCGGTCCTTGGGCCTTCTTAGGGTCGTTTGTTCCCCTTGGATCGGGTCACCTTTGGGTTGCCCTGCGGCCGTTCAGAAGCCACGTTGAGATCGCCGTGTTGACCGCGGGCCATTCTTGGGGCCGTCCCCAGGGCATTGCCGGGCCGCTCTGCGCCCATCTGAGAGCCGAGATAGGGGTCGAAGGAGCTGCCCTTCGAACAACACGGTACTGGTCGAAGGTCGAAGGTCGAAGGTCGAAGGCCGGCGTGAGCCGGAGCGCGCCCTGCTCGGGCTGCCGGAACGCCGCTTCTCTCGGGGGAGCGTAAGACCCGGGTTTGCCAGGACTCGGGTTCGCCATCGTTTTTTGACGACCGCGCCTCGGATTTTGACGAGGAGGAGTTTCGTGGGATGTCTGCAGCGGGAGGCCTCGTCAAAATGCAGGCTCGGCCTCGTCATTTTTTTGACGACCTCGTCGGGGATTTCCGAGTCCCCCGTACCCAGGTCTTACGCCCCCCTGATTCTCACACGTTCTCTCAATCCCAATCTCTTAACTGTTGATGACGTCGTCGGCCCAGCGATTCGGCGGCCGGCCTGGCGCCCGGCGCCCGGCCGGCGTCCAATCAACAACACGGCATTGCCCGGATATCATTTCTCGAAGGTCCGCGTGGAGTTCTTGGATCGGTGCTGGGCCCCCCTGGCGGCGCCCGAGGCGCCGCTCCCGGCAAGCTCCGCGCGCCAGGGAGGGGGGCTCCAGCGCGGCTCCCAGAATGCCGCGCGGGCCTCCGAGACATCGTGTCTGGGCCGTGTGTTGCTCCCCGGGCCCTGACACCGCCCTGGACCGCCTGGAGGTCATGCGCGTTCCCGGGGAAGCTTCGCTTGCGGCCAAGTGGAGCGCACTGGCGCACCCCGGTGGCCCACCGCCACCGGGCGCGCCCCTCAACCCCGCATGCCTCGTTTGGGCGGCGGGGCCCCTCCCACTGGAGCGGGGAAGCCTGGGAGCACGGAGCCGTGGGTCGCAGCTTGGTGCTCGGGCATTCGGGCGCAGGGATGCAATGAGCAGAGGCAGCAGAGGGACGGGGGGATGAGCAGTGGATGCGGACAGGAGGGGGAGGAGGAGGAGGAGGAGGAGGAGGAGGAGGAGGAGGAGGAGGAGGAGGAGGAGGAGGAGGAGGGGGAGGCCGAGGGGGAAGGGGAGGGGAGGGGGGAGGACAACGAGAAGGATGAGAAAGACGCAGGAGGAAGAGGGAGGCGGAAGAAGGGGCGCGGTGGCTAGCGGCCAGGTTCCAGGGGCCGCCTGCGTTGGGCAGCAGTGGAGCCCCGTGGAGAGATCCAGCCCTTTTGGGGATCGAGCCAGCTAGAGGCGCCATGTATTGTTCCAGTCTCTGCCCCATGCGCACGCGTGGTGGTCATCCACCTCCTCGCCCGCTGCAGTTTCGTGCTCGAGCACCCGCGCGTTTTGCTCGCTTCTGGTCGGCACACACGTACACCAACGCGTGGGACCCGGCTGATCCAGGGCGCCATGGGGAAGGCGCAGAAGCGCTTGGCGGCAGGGGCGGCCGACGGGCGGGGGCGCTACCTCGCCGCAGAAAAGATTGTACAATACCAGAGGTCATGCACCTCTTCTAGCCCGGGGCCCTGCTGCCGCAGCCCGCTCGCCATACCCGGATCGTGTTCGCCCTACGGTTTCAGCCCGAGGGAGTGCGGCGACAGCGCAGGCGACAGCTACGCTCATCCGCCAACAAGGGGCCCCATCAACGCGGTCGTCCACATCGCACCGTCCTTGGGACCTGCCCGCGCCGACCACCACGGTGCGCCGGGCGTGCAGGAAAGCGCCGCCGCCACGAGCGCCGCACGCCCGCAGGGGCCTCACAGGGGCCCTGCGACAGCTGCTCGCGGTGGGCCTCCTGGCAGGTGGGACGGCCAGGCCCGCTCGAGCCCCGATCCCCTGCCGGCCGCGCCGCCGGGCCGCCTGCAGGCCCCCGCGGCGCCGCCCAGCGCCCGGCAGGAGCACGAGGCCGCCGGCGAGCACCACGCGGCGGCGGCTCTCGGCACGCCCGCGGCGCGCGCGCCGCTGGCGCCGCCAGGCTCCTGGAGGGGCACGGCGTGGCAGGCCTCCGCTCCCCCCGGCCTCGAGGCCGCCAGGGCCCCGCCGGCCTCCGCCGCCCCTGGGCTCCCGGCGCCCGCCAGCGGCGCGCCGCGCCTGCCGCCGCCCGGGCCGGGGGACGGGGGCGCCCGCCACGGCCCCTGGCCCGCGGCCATCGGGCTGCCGCCGGGCCTCGAGGCCAGCGGCTCGGGGCCCGACCGCTCGGAGGCGCAGGCGCCGACTGCCCGTCCGCCCGCGGTGCCGCCCGGCTCCTGGGACGTCGGCGCAGCCCCGCCGAGGTCCGAGCCTCTCGCCGCCGAGCCCCCGCCGCCGCAGCGGCTCGAGGCGCCGCGCCAAGCGCGCCGCGCCTGGTGCCCCGAAGGGCGCGACGAGGCCGTCCTCGGGCGGGCGGACCAGACCGAGGGCGGCCACGGGCGCACGGAGGCGGGCTCTCTCGCTGGCCTCCGGGGGCAGACGGCGCGCCTGTCGTGGCCTGCGCAGCGCTGCGAGCAGCGCGAGGGAGGTGGTGGAGGAGTGTCGTGCGCTCGCGGGCCCGCCTCTCGAGCGGTCCCGCTACCAGCCTGGCGCAGCGGTGGATGGCCCGCCGCGTCCCGAGCGGATCGGAGAGGCGCGGCGTGAGGCTCGCGCCTGCCCCTGCCTGCCCCCGTCCGATCGGGCATGCGCAGCAGAAGGTGCACCCTGGGACACTGCGCCGGGTGGCAGGCGCTGTTCATGACAGGCTTGTCCTGCCAGCATGGACTTTGTTTTTCTTTCTGCCTACATGATACCTCTCGCACACCAACGTAGCTTCAGCTGCGTCCCTCGACGTGCCGGTCCATTACGGTGTGGGCGCAGCTCACGGGAGTGCTTTTTTTCGACTTATGACCACCAGCACACGAGGCCGTAATTTTAGAACCCCTTGGCGATGACGGGCATGACTGAGCGGGAATACGGGGGGAGGGGGCCGGTTACGTCCAGATTCGCGCAGGTGCCATCATGAAATGCTGAGGTATGGTGAGTTCCCATGCTGTGCCCGGGGGATGACACGTGACCAGAAGGGGCGGGAGCGGGGGGGGGGGGGGCGGGGCCAGTTCCGGACGACATCGCGAACGATCACAAGACCCAGAGCCCCGACGACGTGATTTTTTCACAACGTCGACCCCCAGGGGTCTGGACCCCTTCCCCAGGACCTATTTTTGTTCCGAGTCGTCTTTTGACGGTCCCGAGGCCCGGGAAGAGCACCCAGAGGCCGAAAAGAGCGACAAACCTCCCATCGTGATTGTTCCGCAACGCGAAGAGGTCAGGGGGACGGTCTCTGCGCACCTGATTTTCCAAGCAGGGCTGGCCTGGCCAGCGTCATGCCCAAACTGCACGCCTGCGCCACAATCTTCACCACCCACCAAACCACCCCAACCCAACCCGAAGGCCCTGATTTACCCTCGATTTCCAGCGGGGGGGGGTCGGGAAACCTCGAAAAAACACGCGTAGAACCCTTACCCCCCCCCCAACCCGAAATTCGGGTCTTCGGGTTGGGTTGGGGTGGTCTGGTAGGTAGTCAATCTAAGCCTTCCTTCGGCGATGCGGCTCGATGCGGAGCCCAATGTCCTCGACGCCGACGTCGGCGCTGCATCGTCGGGGTCGGCGGGGTCGGCCTCCCGAGGCCCGCCTCGGGCCCCCCGCGGGCCCCGCGGCGAGGAGCGAGCCCCAGGGGCGCCTCTTCCTCCCTTCTCCTCCTCCTCCTCCTCCTCCTCCTCCTCCTTCTCCTCCTCCTCCTCCTCCTCCTCGGGACACGGCGTCCACGGCTCCTCCTCCTCCTCCTCCTCCTCCTCCTCCTCCTCCTCCTCCTCCTCCTCCTCCTCCTCCTCCTCCTCCTCCTCCCTCCTCCCTCCTCCGCCTTTATGTGCAGCCTGAGCTTCACCAGTTTTGCCTCGTAGAGGCTCTGGCCGTGGGAGGGGGAGGGAGGCGAGTCGTGGGCGTGGGAGGGGGGAAGCACCGACCAGCGAGAGCCAGCAGCGGGGACAACAATCTCCGCTTGGCTGACTCCTGCGCCGTGCGAGTCGGCCCTCGTTCGAGGTTGCGTGCCTCAGAGGTGGCGACAGGCCAGTGCCTCAGTTGAGGAGCGTGAGCTGCAGGTTTCAAGTCATAATTTTCGTGAGGGTCGAAGCTACCCACTCCCAGAATCCCGTGCAAAGCTGTTTCATCATTCAGACAGTTGTGGATTCCATGGGCTCGTCTCGTCTCGTCTCCTCCTCCTCCTCCTCCGACCCCAGTTGCTTGGACCCTATCGAAGAGGCCGCCAGAACGAGCCCTCGTGGGCGCCTGTACCCCGCCACAAACACGCGGTCGGCGCGGCCGCCATCGCCCTCGCTCGGCTCGCCGGGCGACCGCCACTGCCGGCCGGCGTTCCTCTCCTCTCCCTACTGTTGAGTCGGGCACGCCGCACTACAGGGGAATTATTCAAAAATAGACCACAGAATAGTCTGGGGACTATCTTTTTACCATGTTTGAGCATTCAGGGTGCATTCAGGGGGACAGGCCCGACTTTTACCCAACTGCTGAGTCAGGCGTGTCGATCTACAGGAGGGATCGTCAAACGGAGTCAAAAAATAGTCCGGGAACGATGTGTTTCAAGACTCTGTTCGGTGATTTCGGGGGTGGACAGAACCCCCAACAGTGACAAGTCGATTAGTGAATTGTCCGTTTTCGGTTCTCGAGAGGGCGCCGTGGCCGTTATTTTCCAGGCTTGCGCCCGCCAGGTTTGGGCCTCAGGTCGTTTTCACTAAACCACGTTTTACTAAAGGGGGGTCTGTCCATCCCCGATGATTGTTGTATGTTCTTGGCCATACTGCTCACGTCCCTCAAGAGCCCGCCTAGGCCTGTGGGAGGACGCGCCCGACCGAACGCTACAGCGCGGTACAGCAGCCGCCCGGGCGTGGACCCCCCGGGTCTCGGCCGCTCGCCCCCTTCCCCTTTCACCGTTCCCAGAGGTCCAGCGCATCGAAACAATCACGACGGAGGTGTGTCGCAGCTTTCGGCCCTTACATATATATATATATGTACATACATACATACATACATACATACATACATACATACATATGTACATATGTATACGCATACATACATACATGCACACATGCATGCCTGCGTGCATGCATGTATGTTTGCATACATACATACATACATACATACATACATACATACATACATACATACATACATACATACATACATACATACATACACACATGCATGCATGCATGCATGCATGCATGCATGCATGCATGCATGCACACATACATACACACATGCATGCAGGCAGGCATGCATGCATACATACATATACATATATATATACATACATATACACATACATATACATATACATATACATATACATATACATCAAATATACATATACATATACATATACATATACATATACATATACATATACATATACATATACATATACATATATACATATACACAAACATACCTATATCTATATATTCATATATGGAGGTGGATCCAGCGCATTGAAGAAATCAAGACGGAGGTTTCTCGCAGCCCTCGGCCTCTGTCCAGGGGCCCCCGCCGGGCCCCAGGGCCGTCAACAGAACGACTTGGGAGGAGACGCCGGGTCCTCGGGAAGGGGGTCGAGACTTTTCCGGGGAGCCCGCATGGAAACAAACACGGCATGCGGTGGCGGCATTGGATAAGGAAACCTTCGATGAGGAATCCAGGGTCTTGAAGCCAGTGGACAGCCAATCGTGGATAGGCCATGGATGCCGCCGCCGCCCTCATCAGGTAAAGAACCCTCCGGGCTCCGAACCCGCTGGGCACGTTCCCTACCGAGTGCCCCCAACGTATCGGATATCTGGGCCGGCTGCGCCACCCCACGTGGAGGTCCAAGAGGTCCAGAACCGAGCTCTCCGAGAGCAGGTAGTTTCTCGGCCTCCCGGGGCCCTCCACGGGCCCAAGGGGCCGTCAAAAACGACCGTCGATGATGGCTGTTTTTGTAGTTTTGTAGTTTTCTCGTCAAAGTCGATCGTTGTTGATGGCTATTCCTCAAAAGTTGATCGTTTGTGTCGTTTTGTTCGCCAACAGTCGATCGTTTTTGGCGGTTGTTTCGTCAAAAGTTGATGGTTTTTGACGGTTCTTCGCCCCGAGTCGATTCAGGACGAAGAACCGGCATTGGGGAAGTGTTCCAGACCTCCACGGGGCCCACGTCTCGGAAGCATCAGCGCCGCAGATTTGTTTGGGGCCTCCTCTTCTGCACCCCACCCCTCGAGGAACACACGAATCACACCACTGGGGCCGAGGATCCGGAGCAGCTTCACACAGCTGCGAAGCGGGGCTCTCACGGTGGGCGCGCCACCGTGGGGGGGGCCACGATGGGTGGCCACGGATGGGGGGAGCGGGATAGAGATAGGGTGTAGGGGTGGGGCTAGGGATGGGAATAGGAACAGTCATACAGTCGGAGCGTTGACCCAAGGAACCCAAAATAAGGAACGAGGCTCCCTGCATCCACAAGTTGAACTTCGATTTCCCATCGATAACCAAAGGAAAACCCGAGGCAAACTGTGAAGCAGTCAAGGAACACGGAGCCCCTCCCCAACGAAAAGGGTTCCTTCTCCAGGGCCCCGACTGCATAGGACCAGGGATAATGGGACAGATATGCGGACAGGGATCGGGACCAGAATTAGGATAGGGATTGGTGGATGTGGCAGGGATAACAGGGGCAGGGGCAGGGGCGGAGGCAGAGGGATGCCAACAGGAGTGGGCATAGGGAAAGGGATTGGCCACGAGATCGCAGCAGAAGGCAACAGGAGACGGCGGGAGACGGTGGGAGCCAACGGAAGAGATGGGAGGCGACATCGGTCAACCTCCCGACTCCGAATCTGGCACCGCACCGAATTACTGGCTTCTGAGACAAGGTAAACCTCCTCCTCCTCCTCCTCCTCCTCCTCCTCCTCCTCCTCCTCCTCCTCCTCCTCCTCCTCCTCCTCTCCGCACGCTCGACTCCTCCTCCTCCTCCTCCTCCTCCTCCTCCTCCTCCTCCTCCTCCTCCTCCTCCTCCTCCTCCCTCCTCCTCCTCCTCGGAGAAACTTTCCAGGAGAAGCAGCTCATGCACGAATTCCCCCGGAGCTCCGCGCGGATCCCTCGGATCGGCGCCCGACCCCCCGACCTTGGCGCGCGGAGCGCTCCAGTTGGCGGCGCGGGGGGGCGCCGCCGAGGGGGCCAGTGCAGATCCGAGAAATCGGCGCAGACCTCCCAAAGTGCACATTTATTTAATCGCTTCGCTCATTCCGCCGGCCCATATTGTCGCACCGTTGTGGGCTAGCCGAGTTTTGGGGGGCCGTTTTGGGGCCTCTTGGGGCCTCTTTTGGGGCCTCTTGGGCGCCTCTTGGGGCGTCTTGGGGGCCTCTCGGGGGCCTCTTGGGGCCTTTCTGGGGCCTCCTGGGCGCCTTCTGGGGCGGGGCTCTCCCAAAGTACACATTTATTCCGCTTTCGTTATTCGAATCCTCCTTGCATCTGGTCGCGGGACCAAGCCGGGAAAAGCCACCCCAAAAAGGAAAGCGCCAAAGGGATGAGGCCAGGGAAGCCGCTAGAAGAGTCCAACCCGAGAAACCGGG